TAAAGTACATTGCATCTTTTAAATTATTAAAGTCTATTAAATTGAAATGACACGTCAAACCATAAACGTCAAATTTTCAAAACAAACATGCTTGTGTTCCAAACAGAAAATAGCATTTATAGAATAATTTATTTACTTGCAACCTTTCCCCACACACCACCTCGCCCCTCACCCATAAACATGGTCAAATTGGGCTAAGCCATTTTACATTCGTCTGCATAGGGAGCGATGTTGCAATTTTTCAATTTTTAGTGTCTATTCCGTCTGTTCAGATGGCAGCATCTTATGGGCCCTACATTTTTAAATCTTATCACAAGAATCCTGAAATAATTAGGCAAAAATAAAAGAATGTATGTTGCGTTTTAACTTTTAAATACTATAAAAAATGATGGAAAGTCCATAACTTTTAAATATTTGTTAAATATCACTTATTAAAATATTTTGCATTAAAAGTAAAACAAACCATAGACTTTCCATCATTTTTTACAGTTTTTTGAACCCATTTATGAAAACAGTTTTTGAAAATATTATCGTTCAAAGCTGTATTTCTTGTGATAAAAAAGTCGCCGTCACTTGTCATTGAACTTGGCCTTAAACGCTTTTCCATATTGCAGATCGGGGATTTCCCGCAACTAAATTACAATCGATTGAATCTGTTGAATTGATTTTTAAAGAAAATAGGAGGGAAAATAATTTTGTCAATGGAAGACCAGGAAAAAACTGGTATGCTTCATTTATAAAGCGACATCCTGAAGTGAGCAATAGAGTATCTCAAAATTTGTATTCTGGACGGACAGCTGTCAATGAAGAAAAAATTCGTCATTGGTTTAAAGACTTTGAGGAAAACAATTATATGCCCATCCTAGAAGATTCAACTAGGGTTATTAATGCCGATTAGTTTGCGTTTTTTCTATCGCCGAAACAAAGCAAGGTCTTAATCAAGAAGGGGTCATCCACAGTGTATAGTTTCACAGCTAATAATGATAAAGAGTGCGACAGCCCTACTAAATGCTAATGCTGCTGGCATGGTAGCACCTGCTATGGTAATATTCCAGTATGAAAGAATCCCTCCACATGTAGCTAATAAAATGCCATTAGGATGGGCAATTGGTAAAAGTGAAACTGGCTGGATGACTGGCCAAACATTTTACAAATATGCAGGTAACGTTTTTATACCGTGGTTAAAAGAAAATAATATTATTTTGCCCATAATATTCTTCGTTGATGGGCATTCCAGCAACTTAACACTTCCCCTGAGTTATGTTCAGAAAATGGGATCATATTGGTGTCCCAATTTAACCCATATTATGCAGCCCATGGACGTGGCCGTTTTTAAAACCCTAAAAAGCGCTTGGAGAAATGCCGTTCAAAGATGGAAAATTACAAATAATGGATCTAAAGTAAAAAAAAAAGATTTCGCTCCTATATTGGAGCAAGCAGTTTCTTCATCAATTACGCCAGATATACTTGCTAATGGATTCAAAGCCACTGGGCTATTCCCATTCAGTGCAAGTGCTATCCAATATAAAAAATATTTTAAATCAGGAAATGTCAATCCTCCCGAGCATTAAAATCTACAGCAAGTATCCAATTCAAGGATAAACTCTTTTATTTTGAAAAATTCATTGAAAATAAAACACTAATTAAATTTCGAAGTACCATTAATGATCAGTGGAATGGTGATACAAACGATGAGTCTCAATATCATGTTTGGAAAGCCATTAAAAATGACCAAGATGAAAAGAAAATATCTTGGTCGAGAGAACGGGAAAATGAACTATTTGATAGCAGTGATAACGAAATCGAAGAACAGGAAAATATTCAAGTCAAGGTGCCAGCTATTAACGAAGTACGCATGAAGACACTACCAGATGAACCTCGAGCATGTAGTTCCTGTAATCAAAATTAAGATGAGCCCAAACCATCTACGTCTGCAATCGAAGGAACTCCGCTGAAAGATGTACCAACCCCATTCAAAAGTTGCCTATTTTGGCCAAAGTCTGATTCAAAGCAAACAAAAAGAAAATCAAAGGAAAAATTTCCAGCTGTAGCGATTTCAAAAAAGTGGAAGGAATATCATCTAAAGAAAGAAAGACTGAAAGAAGAAAACGAAAAGACTAAAGCTGAACGAAAACTGAAAAGAGAAGAAAAATTAAAACAAAAACCATCATTTTGAAAAATTAAAAAAGTTCAAAGAAAGGTTTTATCATCGTCATCCTCAGATTCAAGTCGGGAGGTAATTTTGGAATCGGATCACGACTTGCCTCCAATTCTCAACCCAGTGCAGCAAAACTTTGCTGTTGGCAATTATGTAATTATAAGGTATGAACACGATTATTTTCCCGGAATTATTAAGGAAATTAGCAAAGATGTCTAGCAAACACTTGGAAGTGGCCTTCTAAAGAAGATAGTATATGGTACGAGTACCAATACATCATGGAGATAATAGAAGAACCTTTCCGCTTTCCAGAATTTTTAAAATATGCAGATTATATATGATTTACTTTATGTTTCACTATAATGTTGTCCGACTCTCACTGTTACTTTTTGAGACGATTCTGTAACTGGCTTGTACTGTTAATGCACCCACCAGCTACATATTCTGTCCAACACTTGCAGTTGGAGCAAGGCATTTATTCAATAAATGTTTTTATATTTATCAAAATGGGTCAGTTATTGGTTCATCTATTGGGTATATATCAAAATAGGTATGTCATCAACATGTCCATAAAAAAAATCATAATAAAATTAAAATTCCGTAAATATTTAAAAATTACCTTCATTTATGTTTAATATAAACAAAAATATAACAGACAACTAAAGCCATTAACTTGTATTTGCTTAAAATCAGAAAAGTGTCAGCTAATGGTTTCAATACCTTATTTTTAACGGTTGAAACCGTTTTCGTTATTTAGACCCAAAACATTGTAACGGTCGGAACCGTTTTCGTTATTTTGACACCAACATCTCTACACAAATGTCATTTGTCGTTTATGCCTTATGTCTAAAGTTGGTAATTCATTTCGATTTTGTATCTGTCAACGAATAGGTTAATTTGAAAATTATCTTTTATCTTGGACATCCAATGTACTAATTGTCTTTAATATTTTTAATGACCGTCTGATTTTAAAAAGGTAAGTTTCCTACCGATATTTTGTTGAAAATATATATTTAGTACAAGAATTTCTAATTAAAATGTCAAATCTGAAACATAACCTCAACATTGATTAACACATGATAATCCATTTTATATTATTTTGTTAGGCAAGAGATATTATGCTTTACTATATTTAAATATGTTAAATAAGATTTTTCCTTTTCATATTAATTTTGGTCTCTGTGAAGCTATTCATTTAATAGTAAAAAGCATCTTATCTGTTTCCTATATAATCTTCCTAGTCCCTTTCTTGATATTTTTACCTTTTTCCTTGTAGCCTGGCTGTATCTAGATGGTTTTGTAGAAGTTATATCGAAAAAGATTGTTTAGAAGTTTGGAAGAAAGTACAAGCTGCAGGTTTAGAAGTATAGAAACTTAGAAGTTTAGTTCCAGCTACAGAAGTTTATTTCAAGTATATCAAGAGGTTTAGTTCGAGTCATCTAAAGAAGTTTATGAGATTTAAGTTTACCTAGGTAGATTTATACTTGAAGAGTTGGTGATATCCGAAGTATCTTATACGAATCCCCTTGAAGAAGGCCTCTACAGTCACTTCTGAAATACTACCTCCTTTATAACAGATAAGTCTTGAATAAATCATTTAAATTTAAATAAGTAAGTCTCTGTGAATTAGAATTTGTCGCTACCTTATCTGAAACCTTATTTCATTATAATATCTTAATGGTTAGTGATTTTCTATATTTTTATCATTAATCGACAGTCAAGTTTAGTAAGTTTTAAATATAGTAGCACTCAACATTCTTTTTCAAAGTAATACGAGTTGTTTAATAACCTGACCCACTCCCCAAAATCATAAGAGCTTAAAACACTATAAAAATAGATAAAATAACAAGATCACGTTTCAAAGGAAAGAAAAAAAAAAGAAAAATTCTTTCATATTGCAATATTAAATTGTCAAAGTGTTAGGTAAACAAAAACTTACATAAAATACAAATTTAAAAAAACATTTGATTTTCAGCATGAGCTAAAGTTCACTACGCTTGAACTAATTTCTGCCACAGCTTTTAGGAAAATGACGCCAGCCTGTCGCAAACATGTTGAGCTACAATAGGGAAAGGATTAGATGTAAGGACCTTCCTGTGGGAAGTACTAATAAGAAAGAATTGTTTATATCGCGTAGTCTGTCAGACGACGCCGGACCAGTTAAGGGTTAAAAATAAGCTTAATTATAATACTATTATCGGGGTATATTAATGTCAAAGAGCATCGTATAATCATTACGCACGGTAGTGACTCCTTTTTAAAATTATATTGAGATAAAATATAGTAATTTTTTTGGAGCATCTTCAAAATATCCTATTAATATTATCATGTAAAACCTAATGCTTGTCGTAATTAAAAAAATGCACCAGTCCTTTACATTGGCCTGCTAATGTTAAGCCTCAGCCCCCATACCTTTTAAATTAGGTTATTTTTAAAACAAAGATGCATTTTTATAAAATATTTTTGTGTCACTACTATTTCTATATCGGGATTATAATATGGATCGGCATCACTGCAATATATCCGTCGAGTGCACGAAATGCGATTACCTGAGAGCCAGTAGCAGAAGCTTCGGTCCAAATATAAGATATGGAGATCCTGATCGCTGAGGAGGTCATTTTCAACTGCCACCTTAACAAAGAACTATGAAATTAAGTACGTTACTTGTATTGACAACTAAGCAATATGAAGTAATTTGTTTAATTTTATTGTATATTTAAGATGCAGTGCAAGGTTTAATGACAGAAGCGAAGACATTAAGACTTGTAATGTAATAGAGATGTTGGGAAAAATACAAAGTTTACATTTGATTCGAATTGGGTTTTATTAAATATTAAGATAAGGAAGTATATAATGAAAATCAACTAATATTTTGAGTACTTTTAATTGCCAATTTAAGAATATTTTCTTTAATCAATCAATATTACTTTAATCCAATGATTTGCTTCAGTTTTAGTAATGCTATTCTGAAATGTCATCAAAAAATATTTGTTATCATCAAATAATAAAGCAATAGGTTTCTTTTTGGAGTTATTCTTATTGTCATATTCACATAAAGCAATACTAATATTAAGTCCTGAGTCATTCAAAATTGTAATTCGAACAAATTCATTTTGTGTAAAAACAAACATATTTCTATTAAATAAACCAGTAATGTAAAAATTTGAATATGCACAGATTTCTTTGCCAGGATGAGCTACCATGTGGCTAGCAATTTCTACTATTGTACCACGAAAGTTACAATTTTGTTCTGGACAATGTTGAAGAGGTTGTAATTCACATGATTCTTCATGTCCTAAATGATAATCCGCTTTAAATGTTTGACCACAATTCCATTTACAATAAAATTCGATATTTTTTAACATATCTCTGTGAAAATTTGAAATCATATAATCATTTTCGTGAACTTTATTTTCATGTTTTAACATTTGGAAACAGTAGTAACAAATAGAATGACTAAACTTCTTACTAAAATAAAACTTTAGTATTAAACTATCTCTACTGAGTCCTCTCCAGCAAATGTCTTGACAATTAAAACAATGAAGAAAATAAATTATGTCAGATTCTACAATTGCAAAATTACATTTACTTAATGAAATTTTTGGGAAAGTTAGCTGAAAATTTGAACTTAAAAATATTTTCCTGGAAAATGGAGTTTGAACTGCAGGCTTAAAAGAAACAACAGTACTAGATATCCCTAATAAATTAAAATCAATTGAATTATTAGAATTGTTTAGTCCAGTACTTAAAGGAACAGAAATTAACTGTAGATTTTTAAATATCAATTTAAACTTTATAAAAACCGAATTTAAATCATTTTTTATTTTTATGGAGAAAAAATCATTATTTTTACCAAAAACGCTGCAGGATTTTATTTTTGAACTATATTCAAATAAATTTTTTTCGGAAGTCATAGTGATTTGTTGAGTGATATCATTAGCTGCCTTACTGTTGCCTAAATAAGAAACATTTACTTTAATTAATTCTTCCATTCTACTAACATATAAGTGCAAAAAGAATACATTATCTTCTAAACGATAAAAATACACTAAAGAAGTTTCCGAGTATTTATCAATGTTTAAAAACAATACTGGAACATCTAAAATACATTCCCGGTGTTTATCATTAAAATGTTTTACAAGAAGAAATGTGGGGAATTCATGATTGTTAACACATATCGGGCACTGATAAACTTTGCTCGCACAAACTTTTTCATGATTTCTAACTTGGGAATAAGTCAATAATTCTCTACAACCATCGAACCTATTTACACATTTAAACAGGCACTTTTCTGCAATAGCTCCATATAGAGAAACAGCTCCATCAGATTGTCTCTTACTTCTTGCGCATCTTCCACATTTTACTCTTCTGTTTGGATACACTATTACAGGTTTTACAGATAAGTATTTACTGCATGCATGGCAAATTAATGTTTCTAATATCGAATCTGGTATTATGAATGCCATATTTTAAAAGCTAAAAAAAAAAAAAAATTAATTAGACAATTTTTTAGTCGAATTTGCCAAATTTAATATATTATGTTACAATTTGTGAAGTAGGCTTTGGCAACAGTGCCCAGATAAAGTAGCAAGATGTTGACGTCATACACATGACGGGAAGACAGGCGCAGAAACGACAGTCTGATTTGTACCGGCAAGATGCAACGTTGGTGCTTTACCAAAGAGACGAACTGTTCTTACCACGTGTAATATTGGAGCAATAAAGTTAGTGATATCATCTCGTCTTTTTTGATTAAATTCTACACCCCCTGTACACCACAATCTGGCGACGAGGATAAAAAAAATACAGGGCAAATAAGTTGAAGTACCGGTAAAGGGTCCTAAAAAGGGTAAAATGGCGGCGGCATTAGGAGTAAAGTTGTTCGACTTTAACACTGACGATGACTGGACGATTTACCTAGAGAGATTAGAACAATATTTTACTGCGAATAAAATTGCTGAAGGGGAAGTAAAAGTAGCAAATTTATTAAGTGCGGTGGGGGTAGAAACGTATAGACTATTAAGAGATATGTGCCATCCTATCATTTCAAAGAACAAATCGTATACGGATTTATGTTTAATACTTACTAAACATTTTTTCCCGCAAGTGAATGTTTGGCAGGAGCGCAAGAAATTCATGGAATCGCTGCAGGAAGAGGCAGAAAGTGCATCGACATGGTACACAAGACTGTGCAGCTTAGCTGTAAATTGCAAGTTCGAAGCCAATTCAAAGGTATTTATTACGCAAAAGTTTGTGACGGGGCTCAAACGAGGTCCAGTGTTTGATCGTTTAAGTGAAGAAGACGACACTGTTTCCATCGAAAAGCTGAAAAAGTTAGCAAGCAAAAAAGAAGGCATGTATAATCCGACCAATGACCGTAACCCTTCCGATAGTAGGAAAATGGAATCCAAATCAAGCCAATCACAAAGCAGGAAGAACTCATCGAGGCATTTTGGCAAAAATGTATATGGTGAACGTCAAATGTCAAATTCAAATGCCAGAAATGTCAACCTAAATTCCAAATGTCATGTCTGCGGGATTAATTTTCATATATACAAAAGATATAAATACAGAGAATATATCTGCAAGGTATGTGAAACAAAAGGACATTTAGCAAGAATGTGTTCCAGACAAAATGTAAATTTCATAGAAGATGACAGGAGGTATGTACCAGACCAATTTTTCACGAAAGTAGTAGTGCAAGTGATAGTGTACCGGTAACGATGTTCAATAATGAAATCGCGAATAAAAGTGGATATAAAAATGTTCATAATCCATTTATGTTTAATATTTTACTAGATAATAAAAGATTCAATGTTCTTTTTGATTCTGGTAGCACTGTATCTTGTATAAATAATGTTTATGAACAAGAATTCAAAGATAAATATCCACTCTTTAAAGATAATATAATCTTAAGAACATACATGGTACTGATTTCTCATCAATTGGTTATTTTAAGGTTAATGTTTGTTTCAATAATTGTGTAAGACCTATTAGATTTTATGTTATTCATAATGGAGGACCTCAATTGTTGGGTAGAGATTTTATTAATGCTTATAACTTAAGACTAGAAATGGTAAATGTTTTGCAACCTAAGTATCTTAATGTGGAAATAGATAAATTAATTGACAAATTTCCTGAAGTTTTCAGTATTAATTTAGGTACTTTTAAATATTCAAAAGTTTCATTATATTTAAAACCTGATGTCAAACCTATTTTCCTCCGATCTAGATCAGTTCCACTAGCTTATCAAAAACCAATGGAAGAGGAGTTGGAAAAGTTAATAAAAGACGGAGTTCTTTCACCAGCCACGACTAGCGAGTTCGCCACACCTTTGGTTCCCATTCTAAAGAAAGATGGACATATCCGAATATGCGGAAATTATAAGAGTACTTTGGTAGAAGAAGTGTACCCATTACCAAGAATCGAAGATTTATTTGCTAAACTTCATGGAGGGGAGCATTTCACCAAATTGGACTTAAGTTCAGCATACATGCAATTCTTGTTGGATGACGAAGCACGCAAGTTGCTGACTTGGAGCACACATAAGGGTCTGTTTCATATAAATAGGATGCCTTATGGCATTTCACCAGCAAGCGGTATTTTTCAAAAGCACATTGAACAAATTTTCCAAGGTATGGATTTTATTTGTATTTATCTAGATGATATTCTAATAACTGGTAAAGATAAAGTTGATTATTTAAGAAATTTGGAAAAAGCTTTAACTATTTTAAGGAATGCAGGGTTAACATTAAAAATAAATAAATGCGAATTCTTTAAAGATAGTTTAGAATATTTGGGACATATTATTTCCAAAGAGCGGTTAATTAAGTCAAATACTAAAATTAAAGCTATAGTTGAGGCGCCTAAGCCAAATAATTTAACAGAAACCCGTTAACGTTTGGGAATGATAAATTTTTATAGTGAATATGTTCCAAACTTCTCAAATATGTTAAGCCAATTTATAATTTATTAAAGAAAGATAATTGTTTTATTTAGGGTGAAGATTGTGAAGAAGCTTTTAAAAAAAATAAGCAGATGATAGCTTCAGATCTAGTGTTAGTTCATTTCAACCCAGAGTTACCTTTAATTCTCACCACAGATAGCTCAGAACATGGTATCGCAGCGGTATTATCGCATCGCATGCCAGATGGAAGTGAAAGGCCCATCGGATGTTTTTCAAGAATATTGCAACCAGCAGAAGTAAAATACAGCACCATACATCGAGAGGGACTGGCAGTCTACTGGGGAGTGCAAAAATGCTCGCAATATTTAGTAGGTAGGTAGGTAGGTAGGTAGGTATATGGTAATGGTGGATGCATTTTCAAAATGGTTAGAAGTAATAGAAATGAAAACAGCAAATATTTGCACGGTTTGGGTTACCAAAGACGTAAGTGACAATAGAAGTCAGCTTGTAAGTGCTCAGTTTGAGATATTTTTAAAACTTAATGGTAGTGCTGACATTACATCACCGCCATATAACAGCCAAAGCAATGGTTTGGCAGAAAATGGAGTGAAAACATTTAAAAACAAGATATATACTCTTTTAAATGATAACAAGCATAATGTTTCAACCGCAACACTAATTTATAGATTTCTACTGGACAACTCCACATCAATCAACAAATATTGCACCAGCTGAGTTGATGTTTAATCGGAAAATCAGAACCAGACTAGCACAGATGACAGAAAGAAGAAAATCAGATGATAGGAAGGATGAAACAGCAGTTTCAGAGAATAAAAAAAGGTTAAAGAAAGCATGAGAAAAGCTCAGGAAAAACAAATCCAACAATACAGAGGAGTTAAACGAGAATTTAAAACCGAAGAATTAGTGATGGTAAGAGATTATCGCAATCCTAACAAAGTAGGTTGGACCAAAGCTGAAATTATGAAAAAAATAGGAAAATCCACTTTTCTGTGTAAATTAGAAGCTGGAAATATTTATAAAAGACACAAGAACCAAATAATGAAGTATACACAGGGTGTAGGACATGACCTAGGAATGGGGGTAGTAGGTTAGACAACTATTGCAAACAAACCCTCAAAAGTAGCATTTTCATGTAATGATCTAGACCAGGGATGGCCAAGAGGTCGACCGCGATCTACCGGTCGACCGCGATCTACCGGTCGACCGCGAGGGCGATTTAGGTAGCCCGCGAGAGTTAAATAAACTGAATAGACAAAATATGAAAAAATAACATTACTTATTTTAAAATATATTCGCGCCAAGGACTGACTATAGGTACTACTCACACGCTTCGGTCGTAACGTGATATCGTTGCGTGCGTATGTGTGAGTCAGTCATGTAAAAGCAACTCACCGCTGTCTCTTTTCTTTTCATTTCGCATTGTTTTCTCACGGCTTGGTTTGGTAGCTAGCCAGTGCTAGTTTCGACTTGAGTGCGAACGGATTACAATTAATTTGTTGCGTCGCGATAATAAAAAATTAACGTAGGGACCTTGTGACTTAGTGTTTTTTAATTAGTATTATTAAATCAGAATGAGTGGGCCACCTACTTCGAGTGCAAGTAAGTAAGACTTACCATTATCACAGTGAGTGGGAAGAGGAATTTTTTTTCGTTATGGTCAAGGACAAATGTGTATGTCTAATTTGCAACCAAAAGAGCAAATGTTGAAAGGCATTTTAAAACTACACATTCCAAATACGCCACCGATCTTCCATTTGGCAGTGAAAACCGAAAGATAAAAGTACGTGAATTAAAAAGCAGCTTAAGTGCGAAACCAGACTCGAAATCAAAAGCTGCAACACTGGCGTCATTTGCTGTTACAGAAATATTGATAAAACGAAAGAAACCTTTCGAAGATGGAGAAATGATCAAGGAAGCCATGCAGAGAGCTGGAGAAGCACTTTTTAATGACTTTAAAAACAAAAAAGAAATTATTTCAGCATTAAATGACATTTCACTGTCACGAAACACAGTAATGCGACGCAGTGAAGCCTTAAGTGAAAATTTGGAACAATTACTTAATGAAGACTTGCAGAAATGTTGTTTCTTGTCACTACAGTTTAATGAATCCACCGATGTAACCGACATTGCTGAATTGTGCGTTTTCGTGCGTCTAGTTTTTGAAGACATGACGACAAAAGAAGAGTTATTGACGATGATTCCATTGAAGGGGCAAACCAGAGGTGAAGATATCTACAGATCTTTTAAGAGTTTTGTAGAAAAAACTGAATTTCCGATTCACAAACTAGTTGCTATCACGACAGATGGAGCACCCGCTATGCCGGGACAAAAAGTTGGATTTGTTTCATTGTGCAAAAATGATGACAACATTCCAAGTTTCACCAACTATCACTGCATCATACACCAGCAAGTTCTGTGCTCTAAAATTCTCGAATCAGATGTTATTTTTTTCAACTATGAATGCAATAAAAACCAAAAATCGTTCCCGTTTAACAGACGCTCACTTAACTTCCTGTTTGCGCATCGCAGTTACTTGGTACACTCCCCA